TAAACGAATTATTTTAACTCGGGTTTGAAAAATGTCATCAGACACCCATGTTTTAATTTTACCCAAGTACCTCCACTCCTGACCATCTGTAAACTGTAGAAACTATAAAAAATAATTAGAAAAACCCTACCCAGAATAGAATATTAACTAACTTTGCTGGAGGGGTGAGGGAAATGTTGCAAAGCACTGCACTGCTATCTGTGTGAGGGAAACCTCTCCAAGCCAGCAAACCTCAGCTCTCCCAAACCAGCAGAGGAAAGGCTGTGCGTGTCCTGTGACACGTCTGGGCTGCTGTGTCCACGGGCAGACAAATGCAGTTGCCCACAGGAGACAGGCAGGCTTTTGAGTGTTGGTCTGGGGCATTTGTGGTTCCTCTCCTCCCTCAGTTAAGTGAAGGTCTGAGACCTCGGCCAGGCTTGCACAGCTCGCAGCCAAAACCTGGGACAGATGCTGAGCTCGACGCTTTCATTGCTCTAATTCTTTGGGATTCCTCCCCCATTGGACAGCATCCATGTTGAGGCCCTGCTCCCTTGGACAGGGATAGATACAGCTTGTGCCAGAGCCCAGGGATGCCAGCTCAGTCCAAGAGGACATCCAAACCCGGACTGAGGCCTGAAAGCTTCTATCTTCTGGTGACTCTGAGCATGTCTGCGTGGCAATCACTTGGGGCAGTTAAATGCTGGGGGACATTTCTCTGTCCTGCTTTGGGGACCCTCACTACCTGGCTCTAAGAGAGCCCATAAGGATGTCTGCTCCACTCCTCTCAGAAGATCCTACTCCTGTAAGCGCAAAATGCATTGTGTGCCCTGTAGACTCTATCACCCAAACCCCAAGCTCTTACCGCAGTGATGGTGGAGACGTCATGCACATGCTCCTCAGGAACGATGGCCGGCTGCCTGTCTTCCACAGCCAGGCTCTCATCAGCATGTTCAGCGAGGGAAAGGCTCTCAGGACAGCTTGTGGAGGAAGGCTCCTCCTCCCCACAGGGCAGCTCCCCTGAAGAAGATGATACCGTACTATCGACAACACCAGGAGTCCCATCAGCATCAGTCTGAGAGTCTGCAGGGCTCTCCTCTGGGTGGAAAGGTCCCTGGCAATGTGTGCTGCGATCCAGAGAGCTGCTGGGAGTCTGGTCAGGGTCTGACCGAGAGTCTGCAGGATACGTCTCCAACCCAAAACAGTCCTCACCGTCATCACTCAGCTCAAGAAAGTCCCCGGTGCTGTTTATTGAGACGTACTTCTCGGGGTTGCTGTGCTCCACCACCTTCCTTGTGCTGCTCAGGAGTTTGCTGGGTTTGCTGTAGAAGAGAGCCACCCACATATGAAGTATCAGCTTCATCTCTTCCAGGTCGTCGGGCAGATCAGGGTCCCAGGGCCTGGAAGGGAAAGCAAACATAGCCTGAAACGTCTTCATCCTCCCTCCAGTTGACTACCACAAGGTAATTCATCTCCTGGTTCCCCATGGCGCTAAGTCCCAATGCAGGGGGGCTGCAAATGCCCAGCTGTAGACACAGATGCGGTTTCCAGCTTGTTGAAAAAAAGAGAAACTCACAGCTGCAAAGGAGGATTTCTGTTCATGGCTCTAAGTTCCAGTTCCAGCTGCAGAGCCACGGGAATCATAGAATGGTTTGGGTTAGGAGCGACCTTTAAAGATCATCTAGTCCAATCGCCCCCTGCCACAGAGGAAGATGCTGGGGACATCTTCCCCTAGATCAGGTTGCTCAAAGCCCCCTCCAACCTGACCTTGATCGCTTCCAATGATGGGGCACCCACAACTTCTCTGGGCAACCTGTTCCTGTGTCTCACCACCCTTGGCATAAAACATTTCTTCCTTATGCCCAATCCAAACGTACCCTCTCTCAGTTTAAAACCATTCCCCCTTGTTCTGTCACTACACATCTTGGTAAAAAGTCTTTCTCTGTCTTTCCTATAAGCCCCCTTTACACATCGAAAGGCCACAATAAGGTCTCCCCAGAGCCTTCTCTTCTCCAGGCTGAACAACCCCAACTCTCTCAGCCTTTTCTCATAGGAGAGATGCTCCAGCCCTCTGACCATTTTCGTGGCCCTCCTCTGGACCCGCTCCAACAGGTCCATGTCTTGTGCTGAGGACCCCAGAGCTGGACGCA